AAAGCAGTCCAACTAGTATACTCTTGAGCGATGCCAAAAAGGAACATCTTAAGAACCAAATTAGAGAGCAAATCTCGAAATAAAACCATCACCTGCTGTCAGGCGAGAGTAGGCGTAGGCGCACAGAGTAATCCAAGTCAGTCCCACTATAACAGATCAACACAACGAAAAGAAACGCTCAAAGTTCAATGAAAGATTCCGTGCTCGGAAGACAGTGACCGTCCAAAACCCACATCCGTGCCTTCTTGACCAATTTCTCACTCTCACATCCTGATTAATATTAATATGCCCAAAGCACGACACGCACGCAACAGCCAAACTCGCCGTGCCCAACTTAATGACGCGAAGCACGCAAGAATGAAAACGATATCAGCCTGGGGAAACTCCTTGACTCTGCCTCTTCGCATCGCCATCGTTTGCGCCGCCCTGCAGCACGGGCGTGTAAGATTACCGTGCACACCTAGAGTTGAGAGAGTGAACGGAAGCCTCAAGTGAGACACAGATTCAACGCATGTATGTAAGTCATGCAAACTGGCCGGTGGAACCAATCCCTAGTTCATTGCGTTGTTAGCATTCAAAAATGCAGTCTCACGTTGACACGTTTCTTTCCAGGTTCGTTGAGGTATAAAAAAATTCAGTTAGTGTGAAAATTAGCCGATCGCAAACATCCCTTGCAGCAAAGATTTAACATTTTCAGTAGACAACTAGTAGATGCAAATCGTAAAATTTTGCAAGGAATTAAATTGTCATTTTTCACCTTCTCATAGATTCAATAGGAAAAGTGGGAAAGGTGGTTATGATTTCAATTGGCAAAATAGGGAAGACAAGCGAGGAGGGTAATTCGAAGTAGTATTAGAAGGGGGAGAGGAGGCTTAGATTGTAAAGCGAAAATCTTGACAACCACAAGAAGAAATGCGATTATGTAAAATGATGAGGTAGGGTTATTGACAGGACGGTTCACTGGAGAGCATTCATTTGAAGCGAAGGCAAGGGAGGAGGCGGAACGTATGAACTCAGGCGCAGTTGAACCTTAAAAAAGGACAAATGGCAGTCAGAACATTTTGATGTGATAGTCCCCCTCCCCCAACTGTTCACGAGCAACGTTAAGATTACATCGGAAGCCCTGTTTACCTGGGAATGATAAAACAACAGACAACTTTTGATACTAGTTAATCACTCAGGATGTGCTAACTGTTCTAAATTCTAACAAAAGATAAATGGATGCTACCTCACAGCAAAATTACGACCATTGTCCCACCCATCGAGAGCGAACATGTCAAATGATTGAATGGTTCCATAGGTGATTTAACCTTGTCAGCTAAGAGGAGTGTGCCAAGCATCTTACAGCAAACTACTGTTCCATTACTATATTGCAATTCATATAATCTTTTCAGGCTTCATTATTTCGACTACAAGAAGCTTCACCCCATAAGCTGTTTCACACGCGCCCACTGTTGCCCAGTGGCATATGGATCAAACTGACACGTTGGTGACTGCCCAGTGTTGTCATGATCTCCTCTATTGTGACGTCTGCAGAATGAAAGGTACCAGCTGAACTCGAGCATCTCTTGGTATCCATTCTGGCCTCAAAAGACTAGTATAGAGCAAGTTCTCTCAAAGGGGCAAACTATGTTTAGATTAAGACCATAACAAATATTGCAAAAAGCATGAGAGAAAAGAAAGCGAAGCAAAAAAAGTATGGCGGAGACATAAATACATGCCGATGAGTTTATAAGGAATGATTCATTGAGGCTTGTAAATCTAGACATTTGATGACGCGCACTCTGCAAGCATAGTCGATGTACGAAGCCTAGCATCATATGCTCTAGCTTAAACGGTCACATTGACTCAACAACAAGATGGTGCAAATTCATTGGGTTTAGAGCTGGGTACAAAGGATAACGTTCCCAATTAGAGGCTTTCTTTCTGCTGTTTCAATAGCGAGTACCTCCATCAAAATTCATGTGCAGAGGAATCACAAATCGATTGAAATAGGCTCTATTTAAAGTGGTCTCAAAGAGTCGGCTTTCATATCAAGCAAACGAGTCCTCCTTTATACAGGAAGAAGGGTATGAAGGGGGAAGGAAGGAGGGAAGGGAAGAACACTTTTTGACATAAACTCAAAGGGACGTTAAAGTGATTAATGTAGCGAGTGCATTGCACAAAATCTGTTTACGAGTGCACAGAGCGTCAAGCAGAGTAAAATGAACTGACTTTTCCACTCGATCTCGCCAAAACGTTCATCAAAGACTCCTATAAAGCCAAGCATCCGGTTTCGTTCAAATTATAACTATGTTAAGAAACACGCAGTGTTTGCGCATTAAAAAATAGTCTGAAGCCCCTTAAGGTCGTGGAAAGTGTGAATCAGCATAATCTTCATGCATCTATAATTGCCTAAATTAGTTCATTTATGCTAAATGGTGGTTGAGGGATACATTTTAACCCATAAAAACTTCAAATATCCCACAATCCTCTCAAAAGGAACGCCAAGATGGCGTATTTCAGCCAGAGGTATTTGAGTAACTAATTAGCCAGGCAAATGAAGCGTAATCACAGTCCATTACTTCTGTCGTTCAGTATTATAAACAACAGAAAAGTAGTGTACAAGAAAAAGGCACCTGAGTTGAATATTATCTAATAGCAGGTTTAAAACTCGTTTCGGCCAAAGTATTGCTATCATGGCGAAGCAAAAGCTACTCGAAAACAAACACTTTCACCCAAAAAAGGACCACAAGGAATCCTTCAGAAGCAGTCTAAATGAAATGGGCAGTAGGGTAGGCATCTATCATACAATGCGGTAGGTGCGCCTCATTAATTTAGAGGAACTTCCGCTTTCACAAACATTGGCATAGTGTCCAGCCGTAAGTCATAGAGACCTGGGAAACGAGGCCGATTGGGCGCAACGTTGTTAGTAGTGAGCAAACCACATCCTCCATTCCCCAAACACAATGCCATGAAATATGGAATCCTCATGAATAGCTACATTGAAGAGCAAGATACTGCTCAAAACATTGATAAGTTGGCGACTTCCACTTATGCAACGCACATAAGCAGTTGGTTGATTGTTTGCTAACCAAACACGGGAAGTAGTGCCGTTTCTTCCTACAAGACTTTCACGGCGAACAAACACCACTTTGATGGATGGTTCAGTGAGTGAGTTCGTTGCCCCTCATGATTTGCAGGTATTTCGTACTTCCGCCGCTTTCATGCTACTGCCCACGCTCACATCGAATTAAGAGGACCAAAACCTATGTAGAGTATTTATTCTTAAATAACAATCTCGCCATAAGCAGTACTTAACTATCATTTCGTTAAGTCAATAATAATAGCTAAAAGAGATGCAATCGAGAGCAAAAATGACAATATTTTACCGCATAGAATGAGGCGCAATTCAGAAGAACTCAGGTGCGAGACATTTTGGCCAACTTGCCTTCAGGAAGAAGCGCGGGAAAATTATAAATTATCCAAATTTTGCTGCATCGTGTTTTTCCCAAGCACTACAAACACGCACACATTCGTGAGTCAATGGACAAAAACAGACGACATTCACAGACTACTATTGCCGACGAAGTAAAGGGGAGGCTTCAGTAGAGCTGGATCCATACACTTTCGGCACCCTTCCACTCCTATTTAATAATGGATCATCGGAAGGAATGAATTGTTGAATTAGCAATGAAGCACCATCCAAATTCGTCGTCAAAATCGTGCCCTTGAATACAGCACGGAGGTTCAGTTACAAGAAACCTCGAAAGGATATTGTCTGAGAAAGCAGTAATACAGTGGTATAGCAGAGGCGAGAACGACCTCCTCACCGCAAATGACTGGAGGAAAATTGACAAGGAAGAAGAATTCATAAACAATAAATAATCGGTAGTCAACAACGCTTTTCACTTAACAAAAAGATTGAGTAAGGAAAATATTGTGTAGCTCTGGGATTTTCAGACCGACAGTTAAATTTACATTGCCGATTGAGCGGTTTCCTGTACAACCTGCGTGCAATTATAGGGCATTTCAAAATGCAAATCTCCAGAGCGTAATACCTAGCATCTTGCAGTATTAAAATACATTTGGGACAAATAAGAAATACAAGATGCAGAAACGTCGACAGCTGAAAGAGTACATAAAACTTCATAAAGTGATATGTAAACGAGAATGCATTATAAAGTAGATTAGATATAGAGGCGAACATTTTGCAAATGCAAAATCATTTACCCACCAAGAGTGCGGATTTAAACCATAGTATCATTTCATCCGAGTGGTGTGATGATCTGGATGTGTGCTCCATTCGCATATGCTCGCTCTTTTATTCTGGAAATGGCCTCTAAGCGTGAGACCATATTTGACGAATCTCGCACACAAAACGATGTGGTAATTCTCAAACAAAACATCTGCGATGACAATACATGTGCTTTGTGTCAAGGCAATGGCTGAGGCACCCAACCAAATGCAACCATACAATTTAGCCTTGCGATTCTTTGCCTTCCAAGCAAAGATTTCCACTTTCTGCCCTCTATCTTGGGTTAAAACTTGATGGAAGGGATGCTGACATCTTACGTAAATGCAGTGCGAACGTGAGTCAGAGCCTAAAATAGCACCAATGTTCAGGTAATTACGAGATGCATTTTGCGAGTGTTCCTTGCCGATGCCATTAATCTAACCGATGAAATACGGCAAAAAACCGGACTTATGGAAATGAGAAAATCTTTTAACCATACGCTGCCCCGTGCCTCTCAGAAAATTCAATTTACCATTTTTACAAAGGATATGCAGCATGCATACAAAAGCATTCGGCTGTTGAGTTCAGTACCATACAAAAGGGATGGTAACACGCAAGTAATACCCTTTTTTTCGAAACTTGCTAGCAATATTTGACAATTTAGGAAGCCTTACATTTATCGTATGTTGGAATATCTGGTTCCATTGCAAATGAACCAGTACGTAGTGCTTGGTTTCAATAGCAGCTAGAAAGTTCAGTGTCATGCAAATAGCTTAAAACGTTCTCAGAAGAAGTTATGAAGACAAAAATAGTGTTCAGCCAATAAGATTAAGAAAACAGCAGTCAAAGAGATGAATACCTTGAGATGAGCACAGGAATCCCTCTCTGAAACTATGTTTTCAATATGTGAGGCGTTAAGTGCCTCCAGACGCGCATTATCTCGCGTGAGCTGCAGCAGAGTTGCGGCCATCTCCCCCTCATCATCGTCGTCATCGTCATCGTCATCTTCATCCACATCGGCGTCTCTGTCGTTGCCGTCCTCATTTACGTTCTCGTCTTCATTGAGAATGTGACCGGCCAGCGGGCCTAGCATTTGAAGTCGACCCGAAGTACCGCGACCTACTTTCAGAAGATGCTCGTTCTCGTGGAAGTATTGACGCACCTGTCGTTCGCGCACTTCCCCTGTGGCTACCATCTGACTGATACACATCTAAACAAAAATCCAAAGTAAACCAACTAAAATTATTACTGTTACCTCGAGGGAATGGTGACTAAAAATAGGATGCTTTCCTCACCTGTCTTGAGATAAATACAGACATGTATTATCAAATCCGATACTTTGAGTTGGTCAACTATTAAACAAGCATGCGGACAACAGAAAGCCGAGATGCAAGAAATGGAGAAGACTAAGCGATCTCAAACATCAGCTCCTTGACGTTTTTTGCAAGGTTATTCGACGCTCTCTTTTCGCCTGTTCTATGCTGGCGCAAACCCAAAAATTAATTTGGCTGTGGATTGTACGTGCGTGGTGAATTTTTCCCCACCCTAGAAATTGTGTACAATGGTCTAATCTCCAGACGCACGAATGCAACTAAAGTAGTGATAAAAATCTCTTTTTAGCAAGAACAATAGCAGAAAACTTCGCCTTCAAAGGACTCAAAATCACCCCTCAAAACATTGTGAATAGCTTAGTTTTGGATCGGCATCATTGATGGAATTTACTGAATGCTTGACCGCAAATCGTCAAATACAACGCAATAGCGAATTTCTTTAACTTCTAGTTTTAAGATTTCAATCAATAGTTTTGGCGCAAAATCACCACAAAAAATGTTCCTTTCGGGAAAGACAGTGATGAGTGCTTCTGAATCATTCAGAAAGCATTTATTTATTACCCCACGATGGCTGAGGGATGTAGGAAGGTAGAGGTGCTGGAGAGGAAGGAAATAATTTATTATGTCGTGGTAATTCCAATGAGAGCAAGTGTGAAGCAGATGGGGGGAGTAAAGCTCATCGCCCTCTTCCATCGTATGCGCATATCTGAAGATGGTGTAAGTTACCGGCTCCTCAGGACTAAAAAAATGCAATGAGTTGAACCTTGAAGCAAAGCCAACTACAAATCAATCGTCCCATGTTCAGGTTTTTGACTGTTGAGTGGATTAACAAACCAAACGTCATCCAAAAATTAACTAATGTTATCACGACTACACTCTTTTGGGTTCAAATGATAGGTATTTAAACCCATATTCTTGCTTCAGCTCAAAAGAACAAAACATTATGGAAGAATGTGAGATTATATTATCCTAATAAGTATGTTAAAGAACGAGTGTAGCATTAAGCACATGAGTTCTACATTTCGCACTGATCACAGTAAAATCATCTACTTGAATAACCCATCATTTAGCTCTCTTCCCTGCTCTCAGATACTCCAATAGAAAAACATTTCGTTTACTCCACGTATAACTAGGGAAACCTTTACAGCCTCTTCTGGTTGGGTTTCCACACAGATGACATCTAGCTCTGCACACGATACCCATATTACTAGTTTTCCAAGCCTAATCAACGCAGACGATGGGACGCTAAAACGCTCAAAGGTGAGAACGAAGTTATACAATAACTTGCATGGCCCGGAGGCAAGTCAAAAGTTATAGATCGTCTGCTTCTAAATGCAGTTGGGCGTATGCGATCGCTCCGTAGGCACTTCAAGGATAAAATGATTTGAGGATTGATAAATGCAGTTGTTTTCTAGATGATTTAAAATCAAAACCAAAAAATTTTCGTTTGGAATTTTCGGCAGCTTTGCAGAACAACCCCAAAGCAGTGAACACACAAAAACAATAGGACGTATGCAAAAGTAACTGCCTATACTCCTTTACTGATGAAGTGTAGCCAGTAAATGGAAATAATTGGATAACACTGCAAAAATGATGGGGCATCTACGTGGTTTAGGATTGACACAGACGTAGTCGGCAAATTCAAGTCGTTCGATTTCACGAAACTTAAATCTACCTTCGAAAACTGAAACAACTTTCGGTAGTAAATGAGACGGGATTGCCTGAAAAACCGAAGCTTTGAAAGCTAAAAGAAGGGGAAAAAACTTGAAAAAGGGAGGCGCGACAATGCAAACGGAGACTTTTCGCGTCTAATGAACAGCAACCAAGTAAATTAATAGATAAGGTAAAGGGAACATGGCATCCGTTCCCTTATCTTTTGTTGTTACTAAGCCAACACAGAAAAAAAATTTCCAAATTCCGTATGCATATTGGGACTACAAATAATCCAAGAGATTCAGATCTTCATGTAAGACTAAAAGGTATTTTTACCATGAATAAATTCACAAAACAAAGGATTGAACTCTGAATTAAAATATTTTTATTGTAGATGTTAATGACAGTACGTTTCAGTCAGCAAATCACACAGACGTCGCTCTAGTTGGAGTTAAAAGCTAACGAAAAACTTGGGGCGGAGTCATGCGCTATCAGCGTAAGCGCCGAGGTCACATCATTGTGATAGTGAAGCTGAACAACGAAGGAGCATAGAGAACAAGTGAACTCATGTACATGGGGAAGCTTAGGCATTATGCGTTGCAGTGATGACTGCCCCCTTCATGAACCACTGCTCACAACAATGTTTGAAGCGCACTATGCCGCTGATTAAAGGTTTCTCATTTGGCTAACTTACAATTTACCCTTGAAAGATTTAAACAAGTGGATGAAAAAGGTACTTGCGGGGAAGAGATCCTCCTGTATCAACATTTGATCCACAGAACATGTGCGCTCGGTTATTAGCGTCGTTAGCTCTAGACACAAAGAAAAGAACTGGATTGTTTCTATCCAAAACGAGAAAAATCATGACATCAGACGCACCAGAAAATAATGTACCAATTCGTCTGTAGAATGTATGAGATGATGCAAATACACTGGATGGAGGGATTCGCAGGTATGGAAGCACAAAAGTTCAAAGCCCAAAAACAATGCGAAACACTGGAACAAAGGTGGACTTGAATGAATCGAAACGCTACATAGTGTGGTAGTGCAGACAAGAAACCGACGACGCAAGACGCCGAATAAAAATTAATTTAACAAATCAATTCAATTCCGTACGATTTGGTGCTTACGCTACTTTGATTGACCTCAAATACCAAATGCTGAATCTTTCCATTTTGCTGACGAAGTGACGAGATTATCTAGTGGCTAGAGGATTTGGATAGAAATCAGTTGGTAGGAACGGAGAGAAACGATCAGTTGACAGTAATAAGAAATCATGGGATAGGACTACATCGACCTCCTATTGTCACTTTAAGCGCACAGCATTGATCCTGACAGCGTAAAAAGGCGTCTCACTTTTACTGAGAGAGGAAATTCAGAATATTACACCTTCGGCTGCTTTTTTTGACTTAGGACGCATACAAGTGATAAATGGACAGAAGGGGTATTCAAGAACACGTTCGACAAACATTGAGCCAATGTTCTAAAGATAGTGAAAACGTCAATGAAGGTAATAATTGCACGCAATCTCAAGTGAACTGCTTGGATGCACATGGATTTACACACCAATAAACTAACCATGGAAAATCAAGCATGACAAATACAATGTACCACTACTAAATATGCATACTCAGAAGCGACTTTGCCAAAAAGATAGTCTACTTCATGATTGCAATGTCTGTGGCGAGAATGAGTTTCTCACATAAAGGAACTCATAATAGAGAGAAATGCTCGAAATAATAACTTCTAAAAAGCTATGACAGTGGAGCAAATTTTATAAGCATTAACTTTAAAATGTTACTACTTAATGTAGTAGGTTATTGCGCATCGCTGAGGTGAATGTGAAGTAGTTAAAACGTCAGGCCCGTGCCGATGTATTCAGATCCCACGCGTTACTACTGTGCAAATGTGACCTCATAACAGAATTATCACCCCACGCTGTGTAACGATGCCCAACTGACGACATTCAGTAAGGAAAGACTTTTGTCAGTCGCCTAAATGTACTGCTCCAAATTCCATTTCAATGCCATGATGACGAGCTCACGACTGTCATTTTGAGAGGGTGCCAAGCCTTTTTAAAATTGAGTTAAAATGAAATCAACCATTCTACAATGTTCCTAAGGACAACTCGGATGCTAAAGGAGAAACTATATAAAGATTAGGGAAATATCAAAATAAATTCAATGACATTCTATCAAAAATGTAGCCATATTAAAAAAAGATATTCTCTCGATGCGAAAGATCAATCAACGTAGATGGTACAAAATGTGACAGCATAAACCGATGGAAAGGACAAGCTCAAACTATGCTGCAGACTTTTTCTAAATGTCCCAAACGGCCGTAATCACTTGCCCTTGAAAATAGTCATTAGTATTTTCCGACTACTTTCCAACCTGATCGCTGGACAAAAAAATTTCTGATTAATACTCATAAAAAGCCTACCTATCTTTTCTTAATTTTGATACCCAGATCTGAGATAAGGAGAATCACTTTCCTGTCCAATTTCACCGATTGGTTGATGTCATTTACAGATTGATGTAAAATGTGGCAAAAACTGCCACTGAAAAATATCAAAAGACCGTAAGTACGTAGGAATGAAACCACATTTTGCGGCTAGCACCCAACTATCAGTCGAATACCCACAAGTCATATTCTCATTTCATTTTAACGCACTATCAAAAAGACGTCTGCATCAAAGCCTTTGTTACTCGGTTAAAAAGGCTGAGAAGATAACAAAATTCAAACTCATGCATACAGGCACAAATTTGCATCAAATTCTGTCAAGACTCCATCAAATATTAACACCAACCTCAATTCGGGCGATTTCTGCCTCCTGTGAGCAAATGCGAGACTTGAGATCGTGCTGGCATGCCATGAGTTCCTGCTGACGCACTGACCAGTAGTTGCAGATGGAGAGGAGATACTGCGAGGCGGGATCCAGCTTAGAATTATCCTGTGATGACAGCTGTGTCCCAGACTTCAGTTCCTCTTTTTGTGCCGTTCTTATTTCCACCACATCTGCCACCGGCTCATCCACCTTATCACCACTCCCCACAACCGTTGCTGCTAACGTTTCTGTGCACGGTGTTGGAGTGATAGGCCATTCAACGGGAAAGCTCTCGACCTTGGGAGTCGGCACCTCCTCCGTCGCTAATGTGCGTCCTCGTGGAAGAGGTATTCCAGCTTCACTATTAAGTGATTCACCAGAAATCTGCCCCATTACCACCTCAGGAACTGGTTTCCTAAAATAAGCAAACACTTACACAGGGTCAAACGAAATGGTTTCATGATAAAATTAACCTTTGAAATGTCATTCGATAGGTAGAAATGTAAGGAAAAGGTGGAAGTCAATCAGTGACGGTATGCATTTCGTATATACACATACTGATGATTCACGGGCAGCCTAGTCAATAATTCGCATAAATAAAACCCAAATATGCATGCAACTAAACAAAACACTGCCTATCCATGGTCTTCGAGAGTTCCACAGACCAGCTCAAAATGACTGAGACAGAAGTACAATCTCGGCAAGCTGATTTTCTTAATCCTGAGTTCTTAAGGGGTAATGGATCAACTACTTATCGGGATATCTGAACTGAGCTCAATCGGGATGGTGGCGGAGTCGCGCAAGAGAAGGAAGTGTTTTGTACCCATTCTCTGCCTACGTCAATTTGATCAACCTCAAATACTGAATGCTTAACCTTTTCTTGTTTTTTTAAAACCATCACTAACCGTTTGCTGCCAGTCTAAAAACTAATTTAAGGTGAGATCATGGCATTGGCAAAGTTTGGTCTACTTTTCGCAATGCGTCTCGATTTTGTGCTGCACAACCGTGACTTCAAAAAGCTGGTGGCGATAAGGGCAACGAACTAGCGGTATCATTTGAGCTCAAGTATATCAGAGCTCTAAGTATAACAGATTAGATTGAAATAATATTTGCATCTCCAAATCCTACGCACACAAATACATTCATAGAGTCAGAAAAAGAGAAAATGTAACTACATTTGCTAGCGCGACGATGGCAGAATCAAGCTTGATTTTTTCTCAATTTGTAGTGAAGTTAAAACAAACGCTAAATGAAATATGGTTTTGTACGACGGCGATGTTTTCAGATGTTATCTGAGTCATTCTCCTACCAACGAGAGGAAGCGTTTGCAAGAGCTATGGATGGCAATATGGATGAGGATAACCCAGAACAAAAAGATAGTTCGTGGAGATTGTCGATGAGGCTGGTCCACCATCTTCTTGCGTGAGTGAATTGATAAATGAATGAAGTAACGAATTAATTACATAATTAATTAACGGAAATTCAAGAACAAAGCCCACTCCAAAAATGTGAAAGACTAACTAGCTACAATCGAGTGGGAAATTATTTATTTATCTTCACAGGCTGCAAGCATGCTAACTGATAGTTATCTATTTCAGAGAGCGCAATGTGCTCAACCGAGAGGATTCTCCAGCCATATAAAGTAGAGGAAAATCCGCTAAATTACTTTACGTGACTCCAAGCAAAAATATCAAAAGCGATCATTTCCACATAAATTGAAGTTTGTTTATGCATTCGAGACCTCAGGGGAATCAGTCAATAAGAATGTGGTTCCAAAATCTGAGGGATAGTGCTTTATGTGAAAAGACAAGATGCATTGATTGCTTTGAACGGTCTTATGCATCAATTAAACGTATAGGCGAAAAGTGCGAACCATAAAAACTCGCAAAGTTAAAAAAACAACGCAGTTAGATTGGCTTGGTGAGCCCATTTTTTGAATGCTGGAACATACTTGCAGACTACTGAACTAATAAACGTACCAGCGACCGCAATTTGGACGTGCTTTGACAACTGTAAGATTGACTCTCCATTTTATGCACCAAAGGTAAATCAGAAAAAAAAAGGTGCGCGATCTGAGCCATGATACGGAGCAAGACGGTCACAGGAGCAGTCTCAGGCACTATAATTAGCCCGTACAGCCCTCGGACTGGTAAATGAACGGCTTCATAAATAGAACTCAGTCCGAGGCATTATATAGCCTAATGCACTTCTAAAAACGCTCAAGTCTAAGGAGAGCCAGTTGACCGCAAGCAATTCAAGTGTTGAGGATATTCGATTTTCGAGTTGAACTATTAATTCCTTAGGTGCCGCAATTGTATTGATAAAAAAATGGAGCTGAATTAGTGTTAAAGGCTATGAAATGCTGTGAAAATAACCGTTAGACAACGGATTGAGTTCGAGGTACAAATATGGTGATAAATTTGAAATTGACTATTTTAGAAAATGCAATAACCTCAGGATGAGTCACACAGAGAAACGTTGAACATACCTCAAAGAGAAGTCAAACACTTCCTCAGTGTCCAGCGACTCAGAGGGAATCAGTTCACGAGGAGGGTGAGCCGGAGGTGGGAGACTCTCATGGCATCGCTTAAGACGCCGCTTCAGCATAGTCACTGTCTGTTGGAGTTCCCAAAACTCCGCGTCTAGACTGCCAGAGGTGATGGCTGGACCACTCAATCCAGACGGGGTGCGTTGTTTCTGCTGCCCACTCGAGCGCTTTGAAAGTGGCGAGACAAAATCAAATTGGGAGACGGGGAGGCGAGAACTCACCGGCTTGGAGGCTGAAATGAGCTTGATTTGTGAACCCACAGAAGCAGCAGAGAGCACGAACAAACCAATGTAACTCGAAACGTACGACATACTACTTAGGCGCGAATTAGGTGTTCCTTAATGAAGGATTCAAATTTTCACAACTATTTTTAGTTTGAGAAAACTACTTTGGGTGTTTATACGCAGAATAAGTAACGACAACATCTAGAAGAGCATATGGACACCTACTTTTAATCCTATATCTTGTGTACAGTATCGATTCGTTGTAATAATGTACTGCTTAAAGGAAGATTATGGTGGTCGTATAGGTACTAAGTTCAAATCAGACCGATATGTGTAACGGAAAGGAGCTCCAAACAGCTGAAAACTGCTAAAGGCAGACTTAAAGATAAAGATAACGATTTAGCATTCAGATTAGCGTGATGCACATCGCCTTCATCAAACCTGTATGTTTCGAAGACAGCCAAGCTCTTCGCATGCAAGTAAAGACCCAAATTCTTCTGCATTCAAGGGGAAAAATATGAGAAAATGAAGTTAGACGACGAGACTTCAGCAAATGAACAAGCTGGTATCGCAAAAAATGTAGACGAGAGGCGTTCGACTTCGCTAACACTCATTTGCAGTTTATTTGTTACTTATCCTTTATGAAAAATGAATGGCAATAAAGATTATTTATCGTCCCAAACACCCTATTTTCACTTTCCATAGAGCTCATGAGAAGGAAAGGAGTCCAGAGGAGAGTAATCTATGGAGCAGATGCTAGAGATAAGTACATAATCAATATCATCGGAGCGTCGAACGGCTTTACCTCCAGCAGTTCCAAATGAACACCCAAAACGGTGCAACACCTTCATTTCCTTCACCTTCAAAACCGGGAATCTTACAACAACTATTACGACGGGCGTGTCTAAAAATAAATCGCTTATTGATGAAGCAATGAATCCCATAAAGCGTATTGGCTATGATGACAAAGTTAAATCATTGATAAGACAGTCGCATAAAGCTCGTCCAATTTCGAAATAGTGAAACACACAGAAAGAAACGCAGCTGGCAACGTCTGTTGCAATGGTTCCGCTTACGATGGCATAAGCGGTTATACCAAGTAGCTGTATGGTGTAACGATTGTTTTACCATGAAAAGGGACTGGGTGAGACGCTTGTTTACCTTCCTAAAATAGAGTGAGTGGGACAAAGATCATCATTCAAGAAACGGCAGCACACAAGATGCAGTACATTACTCATCAGAGCAGGAAGCATTCAGATTTTCTATAAGGAAAAAACACGATCGGAGCTAGATGATGGAGAAGCACACAAATAATATAAAGCAACCGTAGCAGTAGCAGTCAAAGAAGGCATAACTACCTTTCTCAGGTGACGCAATGACGGAAGCGCTGGCACTGACAGTGGCGGTGTTGGCGGATGTAGCAACTGTACCCTCGGTAATTTTGAACTTGACCAACTCCTGCTGGACTCTTTCAAGACGTGTTTCGTGTCGCATCAGCTCAGCGCGAATAGCTTCTGGGTCGGTCAACTCTAAGAGGGCTTTCTTCCGCTTCATCTTCGTCACTAGGTGTTGCACCTAGTGGAGAACAAGATGAAAAGGGATAAAGGGCTTAAAAAGTTGTCTTAACAGTTAAGCAATTACTCCATCACAGTAAAGCTTTGCATGTAAATTTGACTGCACATATGGGCTCGTACAAGCGTACCCCAAAATGTAAATGGCTTTCAATCGTTTAATGTGTATTCTTCGAATTCCTGACAATGACGTTGAAAGACAAGTTTACACATTTACACGGGATTCGCCCCGTTCAAAGTCACGCTAATCATCCTGACCTTTAAAGGAAACGTCACGTTAAGTTGGAGCGAAATGGTACGGCAATAAAAAATATAATTCAATGATTGCAAGCAGTTTTGCATTTATGAAAAAACAGTCCGAAAAGATTTTACTCAACGACAGCCTGCAAGAAAATCTAACAGTTAAGTGTAATCGATTTTAAATAACTAACCAAATTAGAAATCCCCAAAATACCTTCCAAAAAAGTTTCACATCCGTCGCAGTGAAGTGACTTTTTTGGTGCCTCAAAGAGGGTCAAATGGATTTGAGATTTAATGACAATACAGAGAAATAGGAAACTTTTTGGCCTCAACAAAACATTCCTGCTTTTTTCCTGCACAAAGTACCAGGGCCTCGCAAAAAATATGAACGCAGTTTCGAATGCTAACCATACTGAGTAAAAAAAACCTCTTGTACTCTTAATTTGTTGCTTGAAAAATTTGGGAACTAGAGATTTGTGTCAACAACATCCCGTTTGGATGAAATCAGAGGCTCATTATCAAGCCTACGTGTACGAGTGATGTAAAAGGTGCCACAGGAGCCAAGACCGCATTTTATGACAGTAAGCAGCCCAAGAAACTCAGCTACCGAGCTAAAATAATTTGTGTAACCACAACCATCACCCTGAACAACCTTTTTAGCCACAAACCTCTCCGAACTTAACGCCCTTCATACCTTTAGGGATTCAGAGAATAACATTTCGGCAGAAGATACACATTCAATCTCATCCAGAAACACTAAGGATGGTAAATCATAAACCCACAACAGAGTTGATTACGGTTAAAATTAAGGAAATTTTGATGGGAATGCGTCATTGAACCTGCGTTTTCCTACCTCATAACAAGACACACTTGAAAGATTAACTACTGACCACTTGCAGGAATCCAAGCCATTCTTCTCAGCGAGTAAAGGTTGCCAATATTAGTACAGATGCTAAAAGCTTCACATCACTGCTTCTTAAACAACTAACCAATAAAAGTACCATTCCACCAGTCATGTCACCAATAGAATTCAAGATTCCACATCTTTACACACGAGGCTAGGTTTGAGGAAGACGAATACTTCCGTTGTTATTCGTGTCGTGGGAGTGGTATTTCAAAACCCAGCACATGTTTATTACATGCAGCAGAGGTTCGCAAATTTTCGTCCCTACGGCAAAACATAAAACTTTAATCAACACTTAGCCTCAACCAAAAATTGTCGAGGGAAGAGTAATATAATGTTCTTTAAAGTAGGTTTTCTAAACATTTGACCGATGCGCCCCTATTTTGAGAATGATTCGATCATTAAGGCGTGCCTTACTAAGTTACACACTATTAAGAAATCCAGTCCATCAAGAAGAACCAGTTGGCCATAAGTTACACCTTACTACAAGGCCCCTAGGTAACAGATACAACAACGCAACACGAGCATGAGTCGAATTGGGGGAAGGATTAAGGATCGCAGAGAATTCCATCCCTCCTCACTCTACAAGTCCGAAAGTTTAGATAAAGAGATGTCTCACCTCCCAAATAAAAGCATCCTTCTCCGCGCTGGCCCTGCCAGAAACGATCTGTTGCTGTGTGAATGTCAGCAGCGACTCCTGCTTAAATAGCTCGTCCTCCAGCTCAGAAAGAGTATCAGGCAGATCAAAAGGCATGAAACCAGCCTCAGAGGGTGGTGGCGGTGGCAGAGGAGCCCTGTAGGGCCGATAGGTAAACGCCGGATGGGGAAACAACCAGTGAGAGACTTGATTTCTTGCATTCGCCAAACCAACCAGCCGTGTTGCTTCAGGTTCTGCTAGTTCTATTATGCTTCCATCTACGAGAGAAGCTCAGCAAAACGGAAAAAGCCATTCAACATCCGATTCTTTTTATCCATCACAGGATGATATGCGCCTACCTCTCCACAATAGCTATAACTATTCTCATTGAAGAAAGACGAGTTTCTACTGGTAACAAGTTAGTAAATCTATTCAACTCGTCACTTCGGAAATTTGTATTCAAATAATCTTTAGCTTCTGTCAACAAATAAGATGACCTGAACCAGTATGTTATTAATATCGTCTAATAACATCAGCCATCGGCTTCATCTTGTCAAGAGTTGAAGCACAGCTAAGAGGTTGGAATAGCACAAATGACCTGGAAATGGTTGGAGGAGGAGAGCCAGAAGACGATGAGACATGCGAAGCGTGGGGGAGAAGACTATAACGAGATTGGATAGAGTCATTTTGTTTTCGTCAGAGCGGTCGATAACATGGATCATATGCTGTAGCAGCCAGGCTAGGAGGTAACGATTGACACGCGGCAATTCCCAGTGAACCAGCTCAGCCAGCCGACGCCGCCAATCGCCCTCTTTGCTAGCATCTGTTGCTTGGTCACAGACTGCCTCAATGGAGGAGCCCAGTTCCGTAGTGAGCAGGGGTTCAGGTAGGCTACGCAAAAAGTGCTTCAGTACACTGGTCACCACAGCCGGGTCGTGTGGTGGCGGCGGCAATGTAAAAGCTACTTGAGGAAAAGCGGTGCCGCCTTCCCTACTCTCCGTGAGCGTGGCTGGAATTTAAGGAAGGTTAATTAACGGGCATTCCGACAACCCAACCATCTACCCTTTCCAGAATAAAACGGACTTCAAAATTACTTAATCCTGCCAGACGCCTTTGATTAGCAAATGCTATCACTCGAAGAAACACAAAAGCCACATATTGGTACGTTTTGTGGTATAAACAGGTATAGAATAACTTCGACTGTTTGATAAGATGAATGCAATGAGTGTAGGATGACGTCCGGTCCTGCCATAAATCAGACCGCTCTTAAAACCAGGCATGATTGAGTTCTATGTACCCCTTCTAAGGGAAAAAAGAGACAGCGAAAACAGAAACATAGTCAAAAAAGCGTTGAAGACAAAAAAAACTTACACACAAAATTAGATGTAGCATAGAATTGCCGCCACTTGGTACAAATAGATCAGATTTCTGGTTTCCAACAATTTTAAACAGCACAGCATAAAACTTGCAGCAATTGCAACGAAAACACCATCAAGGTAAAAGAGCTAGTAGTTGGAACTCTAATTGCTCTTTAGTGCAAATAAGTATTTTAAACAGCACCTCTGACGGGTGTGCGCAGATTGAATTTACATAAAAGGCAACCAAAGATCTGAATATTACAGTTACAACTAAAGAAAATCCTGACGCATTGTCATTGAATACGCTACTGAACTTAAGGCTAAGCTGATCACGAACTGTTGACTATGGTATCATTCCCGGAAAATGTCCGAGATAACCATACCAACCACTAAGTTCATATATGACAGCTTAAACAAGAAGATACTCGTAAATATCAGCACTTGGTGATAACGATGAAAACTTAAGCGAAGCTGTTTCAGTGTGATCTTTACCTCGCACAGATTTTGGAGCTTCACTGTAATGCAAAGAGGCAGGAGATGTAGGTGGTATGTCCGGGAACTCCACTCCATTGTTCAAGGCATTGATGAATTGTTTTACTTGAGAATTGACGCCTGGTACCTTATCATACGATACGTGAAGGTATGAAAATAAATAAAATAAATAAAAAATAAATTGGGAAATTTACTCTGTAAATGCCTTCCACTGTGAGCCCATATTCTTCAATGAAGTCGATTAAATACCGGACGAAGGCTGGCAGAGGAACGCCATCATGACTTGGATTTCGTTCCAGCGCGGTTGCAAGGTTGACACCAATCACAGCCTGATAATAAGGCAAGAATAGATGAACCTACTTATTTTAAACAAGTAAGAACGGATTAAATCGGGTAACCACCTTGTCGATATTCGGCACATTGACCGGGACCTCCACACCGCCAGCCGCTTTTCGCTTCTTTTTCTTGGCCGGAACCTTCAGTGGAATCTCAAGAGCCTCGGTTACCATCTCAGCTTTTTTACAACTCTTGCTCTTTTCTGTTTTCTTTTTCTTTTTTAGCTCCTTCATCTGCGCTTTATTGAGCTTCTCCCTTGGAGGTCGGGAGTCAGCATCGGGGAAGAGGGAAGTGGCCTCAGGAGCCTGCAAAGGCTGGGGAAGATGTGAAAATGCCATTGGCAGCTCACTTGCAGTGACAGAGGGGGCCAAGAGAGGCATAGAATCCCTAGGATCTTTCCGACCTCGACTCTTCTTTCCCGTAGATAGGCGGAACACTGCTGACATTGGTTTCTTAGACGAGTGCAACGGCTCGCCACCCTCCGTTACCTTTAATAAAAAAACAAAAAAATATTGGAGTTACACATCAAATTGGTGCCACTGACGGAACGTAGGGGTAAACAAACATCCGTAAAAGTACAAACATTTCGTATCGGTGAAGAGGCCGAATGGCATGGGATGTTAGCAGTTCAGTCGAACGGAATCAAACCCATTTAATTCAAAATTACTCAAATCGGAGAGAAAATTACTAGTTTTAGCAATCCGCAAGCGGGTACCTTAAAATCACACTACCACTACATTATTTCATGCAAAGCAATAACATTAGGCACGCCGAGACAAAAGAGTGACAATGTCTTTTCTCAAACATACACTGCACAACGGAGCGTCATCCTCCATTCGGAGGATAGATTCTTCTGGTGTACTATAACACACAGTCGTGTGATCCAATGATATCGGTGATTCTGCGAGTTCTTCTTCAGAACGGATATTGGGATTGCAATCGCTAGAGCTCATAATTGAGGCGTTAGCTCGGGAAGTAGAGGGAATCCAGAAGCGTTCACCGCAATGACTCTCAGAGGGAGCTGTGCTTTGGGATGTTTTGGGAACCTCCATGCCAGCTGGGGGCTAAATTTTCAGTCACCCTAAGCCAATAAAGAAAATATCAATAATAGCGGAGAAAGACAAAAAGTTGAAAAAAAAGCGCCAGAAAAATCTGACATTTTCGCCAAAGCATGATGAATCAATAGGCAATTATGGCGAAAGTCAATGGAGGATCCAAAGCTGAAATAATAAGCAAAACACATTCATGCAAGCCACTAACTTTAAAAAGTGCCTACATACCAAGCATGAACCTAGATCTAAATGAACATCTAAAACTGTGAGGTGATAAATTCTAATTTACCTCAGCATCAACGAAGCACTGTAATAATGCAGAAAGGAGGAGGTAATTTTCGGAGGCTGTGAATGCAGATAGGCAACCTCTCACAAAGGTTGCTCGACAATCTACGAGAGAAAACAAAACACTATAAAACCGCATTATGCTCATTTGGATAGAGCTATACGATGCGAATCTGCTAATAACACAAAAACACCAGCTGCTATGACTCAACCAACACTGCATCACATGCAAAGTTGATACATTACATACAGAGAAGCTAATATAGTTAACCATCTCATAATTGGAAGAGGAAATCATGCAAGAAGCCTCATACTAGGAACCATTTAAATTCCTCAAAAAAGACAAATCACTTGACGAAAAACAATTCATTGATGAGATTACGATAAATAGACTTGACGAAAAACAATTCAATGATGCGATTACAATAAACAGACATAAATTATCTTAACTGCGGCGCAAAAAATCCCTGCATCCTGCATTGCCAAAACAGAAGACAAATAAAGTAGACGTATGGTTTGGATGCGAAACAAACATAGGTAACGTGGGAAACAGCAAGAACAGAAAGAAGAAGACCAGATATTTTATTCCCGTGCATGCAAACACGCACTCCACCTGTTAAGCGGAACACAGATGCCTTAAATGACGCACTGACCGACTACGTCTCCACATGCCTCGACGCAGACGGTAGTAGATAAGAGATAAACACAAATTTAATTTCCAAAATAATTAGACGAACTGAGATAGACAAAAGCTGTCACCGTTTCAAGACACATGCACACAAGACACAACAGACGAAGCAGCCGCCTTGGGCTCTGAAACGAGAGACGAATCACCCGCTTACTCATCAGATTAACCAAAACAGACGCAAATAAGCTAAGCAATAGCAGTTGCAGATCCTCCAAGGTAGACGCATTTATAATAATTGAAAAAACTTCGAAGGACGCTATTTATTATGATAATAGAGGTATTGGCAGCTTAGTTTTAAATATAAAAATGACTATATTAAAAGATTCCCAAATTTATAATAGATTTTTGAGAGTATAGAAAACCTTGTTTATTTTGTTTAAGTGCATGTGTAGGGGTTCTGTCTCGGTTTTGAATTCGCAGCAAAGTTCGTATTCAAATTGTGAGTTTGGGCGGCAATTTGATCGGTTCTGCCCATCTGATTTGGACTGATTCTTTTGGGATGTTTTAATCACATGGCCATCCTATTTCGGTTCTTAATCTCTATGATTCCCGTGGGCTTTTCCGCGGCATGTCTTTGCCTGAGTTTTGGTAGAACCGTTTTTACGCAACTACTACTCTTACATCACTTGGCGGTACCGTTGGGGCTGGTCGTGAACACTTCGTAAACCTGTTCTCTTTTATGTTTCAGTCTTATGATTCAGCAACCTGTTGGTGTAAAGGTTGCACTTTCTCAGAAACAGGGGTTTCCTCCGAATGTCGTTCAGGTTCTTCATACGCGACCTGGACCGAGTGGAGCAACAGTTTTCCAATCTAAGCCTGCACAGTTTAGTGCAGTCCCAGTTCAACCCCTCTTGACTTCACAATCCGTTCAAATAAACACAAATACTGCCGCCCAGTATGCACGGAAGCCACAGGAGATGACACGTGAGTTCATCTCAGTGAATGGTGCTTTTTTCGTCCTTTTTTCCGTGTCTATTCTGTGTTCTTTGCACCATCTAGTTGTCGCCCCCAGCGGTGCATTTATGGCTAGCCCGATTCCCGGTCAGGCTTTCGGACAGGTCGTGAGCATCGGTCAGGCTAATATGCCTGGGATGACTGGCCTAGCTCAAACTCTTATCGGCGCGCCTGGCGTTGGGGTTGCAGCTTCTCCAGGACCTGGGACTCCGCAGACGGTGAACAGCATGACCAACTCAAGGAAGCCTTGTAACTGTACAAAATCGCATTGTCTCAAACTCTACTGTGAATGCTTTGCACAAGGCCAACTCTGTCAAAACTGCAATTGTAATCATTGTATGAATAATTTGGCCTATGAAGAGGAGAGGGGTCGCGCGATCAAAATGACTCTGGAGAGGAATCCAACTGCATTTCACCCCAAGATTGGTCGCGGTGAAGGGGAACGCAAGCACACCAAAGGTTGTAATTGCAAACGCAGCGGTTGTCTCAAAAATTACTGTGAATGCTATGAGGCTAAAATTAGCTGCTCTGATCTCTGTCGGTGTCTTGGATGTCGAAACACGGAGGATAGCATAGAGCGTAGGTCATTGATGCGTCTGGCTGCAATGGGCTCTCTTCGATCGCGCCAACCAAATGCATTCAGGAAGCATTTGATAAAGCCCCCAGCAGAGATGTGAGTTGGGTGTTCGGGCGGATGCTGTTTTTCGATTGAATATTAACCATTGAATTTTCAGTATGCCACATGTATTCTTCACTTGGGAGACGATCGAGGCTGCTGCCAGCTGTCTGTTAGCTCAAGCAGAAGATGCCGAGCGCAGAGACTTGCCACCAGCATCACAAGAAAGAATAATACTCGAAGAGTTCGGTCGCACTCTAGATCGAGTTGTCGAGGCTACTAGCAAGGTACCCTTAGCTTATTCCAGCTTTCAAATCTTTTCGCGCCTATTATCACTGAATTAAAAATGACGTATCGTCAGGCCCAGATTCGCACAAGCGCTTCACTTATCCCGACGGGTACTGGTATCTCCGACGATCTAACTATGGGGGCATCGCGCAACACCTTGAGTTCTGCTGTTCAAATTCCTCATCATCGCTCGCGTAGTCGTCATGATGACGATCTAGTTGATGACGAAGATGATGAGTTTCACGATGTTGGTGATGCCGGGCGTGGTGGTGCCTACGGGGCCGTTGATGATGCTGATGGAACTTTTGAGGACGAAGACGATGAAGATATAGACTTACTCGACCGTCATAATCGACATTTTCATCAGCGCAGGCGTCCCATGGTTACAAACAGGGATGGTGGATCGATGGGTTCTGGGGAATCTGGATCTGCTAAGATGCCTTCCGTGAAGTTTATCTCTCGAAGTGGAGCCGGTCGATCCTACATCAGCAGGAAGGATCTCTTGTAACCAACTGATGCCTCATTTTTTCTTCATACAGTATCCCAACTATCACCCTTTTGTACAGCTTAAATTTATATTGAACGTGTAAGAGATGGTACGTTGTATGGTTAGTGTTATTCGTTGTCTTTTCGTGATAGAGGTTTGTCTCCGAACTAGGTTTGCGCATTAGCCGAAGTTCGGGTGAAACCTTGAAATGTTATTGCTTCAGTCAAATCTTGAATTCCACAATTGAAACTCATTGTTGATAAATTAAAGTACTATGTACATAAGGCAGAAGCATACGGTCGGGCTAGTCAGTAACGGTGTCTCTGTACAGGCGCAGTCCTACGTGTAGATATTCGCAACGTTCGCTAGGATCCATTGACTTAATCATGGGCAGCGTGATGTCAGGAATGGGTGTAGTTGAAGTCCCACACCTTACCACGTAGTTAGAGGGTGTCGAAGCCGGCTCCGGTTTTACAGGCGGATCTGAAAATTTAGGTGGCGTGTAAGCACGTCCTGCAGTGGGAGGCATGATTTGGTAAAGGTCACGGGTTGGGACGAAGCAGAGCTTGGACAGTGAATACGATAGCTCATAAAAGGAATGTGCAAGGTTTATGAATTCTGAAGTCCATGGAACTCGAGCGGCTTATTTTAGTGTATGAAACATACCCTGAATGTGTGTGTTGATGGAATTCTGGATACTTTTAAGATTTGCCGCAGCAGAGGATTTGGAAGTTGGAACGTTGGAGGGTCGGTCTAAAACGGAAGCAATTGAATGAAGTTAAACAAATGCTTACAGAGATCTAGCAATACTAGGGTTACGGGAAGGCGTGCGGAAGGCTACCTACTCAGAGCAGTCTTCGGGCCGTGAATACCTAGACCACGTCTTTCGTGAACTCGTAGAAGTTGCATGATGTCCGAAGCACATATGCCAGCGGCATTGGAGGTGGAATTCTGCAAATTGGATGACGATTGTGTGCCGTCCGCTGGATTAGAAGAGGTGGGGTCAAGAAGACTGGTGGGAACTCGACCTGGTGCAAGCGTCTGAGTCGTTAAATCAGATCCCGATGAGGGATCACTCGTTGGACCACGATCTAATTCACCCAGACCTGGCAAAGACAAGACCCGGAATTGTATTTGACATATCAGCCATATAACTAACCTATTGCAACGCAATTCAGAGACTCCAGAAGCCCTTTTGTGAATCAATAATGACGCGGCCTTCAGGCTCATACACATCAATCTTTATGATCCATTAAACTACTTCTCCCGCGAATGTCTGTCCAACGAGTTTTAAGTCTTCTGGAAATTATATTAGATCAGAGCATAAAACAGAGCTGGACGGGGAAATGAAGGGAAATGGGTACATACCAGCACCAAGTCCGGAGTCGATTGTACTTTCCGACATCCAGATTGGCCGTTCCTTAGGAGCAGTAACGCTGGAACTTATTGGAGCGTCCAACACAATGGTGACGGTGCTCTCCGTTGAAGTAGCTACCGGGTTTTTGTTGGAATCATTCAGCCAAGAATTTGCTGCACGTGTGTCTACAGCATTGCTAGAAGCATCTGTCTCTGATTTGGTCTATGCAGAGAAAGTAGGTTTACCAGTTATCTCCCACCATCATGGGTATTTTAAACGGAATTTCAAACAAGTAGGAGCACTGGTGCGTTATGTTGCATGCAGTCGAAATGACCTTAAAAACCCTGGCTATAGATTACCAGCTTCCTTTGGATTGCGAACAGTTTTCTAGCACAAAAATAAATGTAGTGAAGGTTTTTCTCCCAGTGCTTTGGTCGAAACATTTAGATTGTAATCACCTATAGTATCTCATAGAATTAACTCACCCCGGGGAGGGGTTCTAAAGCGCGAAATTCTGGTTCCAAAATGGAGGAGGAGAGATGAACCTGATCGCACTCCTTTAGCAGAGTATCTAACGGCCCTCGTACCTGAAAATGATGTGAGGGTATCCTTTTCATTGAAAAGTACATTCAGAGAAGTATATGGACATGTGCCAATGTTGTAACTCTCTAATAGACTACAGAGATGTCGATTTTGTAGCACAGCATCCCGCTCATACCTGAAGTTCCTCAGCCTTTCAGTGTTTTGATGGCAAAACTTCGGACTGGAAGTCTCTATAACATGAGGAAGGGAGACGCAGACACTACATCACTTTGCAGTTAACCTATTCCATAACGCAGCAATATTTAAGAAATAAAGTTGACGAGAAAAATAACATTACCTAAAGCACAAAGAATGGAATTCTAGCAAAAGCAAGGTTCCCATTATGGCCTCAAATGAGAACGGAATGCCACCCTTAATAAATCAAGGGGTAAGAAGTAAACAACAATGGAAAAATTGTAGTGAAATTACTTAATTGAATGCAACTAGTGTCTACCAGAGTAATGAAGAGGTAAAAGTGGCGTGAAGTGAAAGGAGTATCGGGAAATTTACCTGTTGGTGAAATTTTGCAACGAGAGCACGGGCATCTGAACGCTGAGCATTATCCTCCTCTTCCTTGACTTCAGCGCGACAGTAGACGCAGACCAAGGAGCCGGTGAGAGGATCAAGGAGACGATCGACTTCGAGATCAGTGTATGCACTATTACAGGAAAAACAGCGAAAGAGCGCTCGGCTTGATGTCTGTCGCTGCTCCGCCTCCAATCGGCGCTGCATCTGATCCAAGCGATATTTAACAATGTTGACGAACACCTTGTAGTCAATAAAGTAGTGAATAATCTTCGCAATCTTCCCTTCCGTGTCAGTCTCCAGCTGGAGCTTTGATTTGATGAACTGATCTGTCTTCAGAGTATGAAGGTGCTGGCGAAGCTGCTTCTTCTCAAAACGCAAGCGCTCACATAAGTCATCCTCTTTCATTATTGTGTTCCGCACCTACAATACCAGTAGACATTCCTAACTTCACTTAGCAATAGCCTTAGTAAAAGCAATGCAGAACTAGCAAATAAAATCAGTTTTATAATTCTGGAGCGATTAAGTTCGAAAAAACCCAGCTGGACGATCGGATGAACTTCATAGATCACAAATTCACAAGCATCTAAGTCTGATCAAACCCAATACGGGCCTATGGAAGATGATTGAAGAGTAAAAAATGACAAAAGCTCCAGAGACATGAGATCCACTCACTAGTAGGTCGATGATAAGAGAATGCTCTCTGGAATAAAAGCTGCGAACTATCGTACGTACAAGCCTCTTCAAGCACAATGGTAACTCAGTTTGGTCTGATGACGGGATTTGAGTTCTTGACACTTCCACATGTGGGTAAGAGCGTTTCATTATAGGCTTGATGGAGTATAGTTATGCAAGTTAAAAGAGGTGTAACGGAAAAAGTAACATGTCTCAAATATTGATAAGTGGTTGGTTCATAGTCAGCTAAAACACTTAAAAATGGGAATCTACTATAAAAAGCAAAAACACTAAAGTTAAAAGGCAGGCACTAAATAAAAATTAAGCATAAAAATTGGGTAGACTCTCGGTCTGCAGGAACGAAAATACAGTATCGTTGAGACGTGAAAAAAGAGGTGCTTTTGATCAAACACAAGTATGCGATGTCTACGACTGAAAATGCATGAATGAACCCAGGACAGCACCGTATGCACACAGAAGGCTGCCAATATCACAACAAAAGCGAGCCAATCCGGTACAAGTAAAACGACGACTCAGAAATTCGCAGTGCGACAATCTAAACATAACGATCTATGCAAAAGTTAGATATTATAGAACCACAATGCGTTAAACTGTAATGTATATTTGATTGAGAACTCAGTTCGTGAAGAGTGTGAGGAGAAGTTCTCAGGGTGACGTCAGCTTTCCTACTAATTAATTCCCCGTTTCCCTTATTTCTGTACGTGATGCCTAATAAAGTTTCCTAAAGCCCGAGGTTCAGAGCCTAGGGGTAGATAAGCAGGTCTTAATAAAACAGCTACTTAATTCAACGTAAAATGTCCCAAAACCGTAAACAAAGAAGTTTACAAGCAAATACTGGTCCGCACACTCCTAAAGCGTCAAAAGGAGAATATAATTTTTTTGCAATACAATACACAAATTCTTAGACTTGCATGAATCCTAGAACAAGACAAGTAACAAAATGTTCGTCGGTCAAATGCGTATTTGTGGAATGACAATCAAGCTAAGAAAAACCACGCATGCATCCCAACTTAACGCTTTCTTCTACCAAGTAGGAGACCTAGAGTACTGCACTTGTGGTAGCAGAAAGCCAATGCGGCTTTGCAACTATTTCTGTCCTGGCTCTCTACGGCTGCGATACATAGCGATAGCGCAGGAGAAGCACATATGCCTCGGACGGGAGATACACCATATTTCGCCATACGAAAGTGTTGGGAATGGTGCCAATGGTGGACTCCGTAGAAATCGCTTGACTGCCCTTGGATTTCGGGAAAGGCTTAATGGACGAAGCTTTACTATGCATAAACTACAGGAAGAAAAGAAATTGGGAAAGGTGAGGTGAGAAGCGGAGAAAAGGCTACTAATACACTTACCCTTCAGACTCTTCACGAAGTGGATTGGTGTTCGAATCTCTTTCGCGTTTCTCACTCATCAAGGCCAACTTAAACACACTAGCACACATTACAGGCCCTAACCCACTCTCGCGCCTTACAGACAAGCGATAACAAAAGGTCCAAAGCCAGTGTTAACCCTCTGGAAAGGTTTTGTGCCGGAGCTCGTCCTACCATATCCACATCTAGATGTAGCAGATGGTAGTACATATATCACTTCCAATATGGAGAGGTAATTTATCCCATTTTCCTTACTAAAATCTGTTTTAGACAGGTGTACTAATACTTCGACCCCAATACGACTAATGGACAACAGAAGTTCCTTTCTACCACTCCTACTCTCAGAGAGAAAGTAACCACGGTCCATTCGAAGTAGGCGATCGAACTAAGCTAAGATAGAATCTATTTCCATCTCCCTGGAATAAATGTATTTTGGCTAAACTTAATGCCTTCTGTAGCGTCCCGAGACCTCCAGGCCGGTAATAAGAAGTCAGTCTGTGAGGCTAGATACGTGTATTCCGGAGGGTACAGATCGAATGGACCTGAGTATGGCTCGAACGCCAGCACTTACGCACAAGGGCCTGACAAATCGTAAAGTGACCACCGAACGTCAAGTAGTCACACAAACAAAGTATTACACTGTCCCTCTCTTCTTTCGAACGACGTCCTCGACGCTCCCTTTCGGTACCACATGAAAGCACCTACGAGCCGTCCGCGCCAGTCGACAGATAGCATGAGACTGAGGAACCGCATCTGGTCTCCTCGACAGCTTCAACTGGATCTGGTGTTACTTTCGGTCTGACAACCAGATTCAGGGCCGCATACACATGTTGATCACCAATTGCTTCCGGGAATATACGGTGGAACTCTGGCCTAAAGCATACATGTTACAGGGAAAACGGGATGAGTCACTGGTCCGTATGCAAGGAAAACCGTTGTGTCATTTCCGACACCTATACACGGATTTTGTAGGAGAACTTCCGACACGAAACTTGTCCAACTGGTTCAAGGCAGTGTCGCTTCAGTTGTTAATAGCTTGTCTGTGGAACAGGGTAATAAGATGAAACCAAATGCAGACGTCAGTCTCAACCCTTTCGTTGTGAAGGATTCGGAGATTGTCCGTCACAAAGGTAAATGCGCCTCCCTCAATTCACGTCCCCTTTTCGCCTGTAGCTTCATCTACTGCATTTCGATAGAGTCAGACCTCCTTCCACGCATGCATAGCTCATGATTGTCGGTGCACAACGCCAAAATGCGCTTGTTTATCTTGGATTTCTCCACTACGAAGTAGAATTGCTTTGTAGCCTTGTCTGCCGGTCGGACTATAGCCTTCTTGCCGTGAAAAGAGAAGTTTCGACTTTCTGGCCAAGTAAACCCGATTTTGGAGTCAAACAGATTATCAAGCTCATAGAGACGCAAAACCAGAGAATCAACATCAATAACAAGCGACATAAATCTCCTGATCTTGTGCGACTTGTAGGCACTAACCCTTGCATAATCCAATCGAACCATTGCTTGTCGGCTTGTTTGTACTGTTCTTTTCCGGAAATTAGTCCATTAATTGACAAAGTTTGTTAACACAAACGTAGGATGCCAATAAGACAGCGGTGTCTGTTGGGTAATAGTTTTTTCCAGGCACTATACCTCTCTTAACAAACGATCAACAAAGAACAAGCCGCAGAGGGAGACCCCAGCTCGGCTAAAAGTTGTTAAAATTTTCGGGTTCGCTTATTGCTGGCACCAGTGTAGCGTTCTGAGACGCCTTGGCTGGTATAAGAATTCAGTAAGTGCAGCTGGATATATGTTTTCTGAAGACGACGGAACAAACGGGCCTGCCCACGTGTACAAGGGTCAGACAAATCATAAAGTGACCGCCAAACATCATGTGGTCGCATAACCAAAGTATTACACTTTCCTCTACACAATGGGAAGTCCGAGAACCCTATCAATTTCGGAATGCGGAGATCGCCACTCAGCCTTTTATAGTACATCATGGCAAGATCAGGCCATATACGGATCCGCCCCCAGTAAGTTACAAAGGTGAAGTCTATGAGTTGGCAGATGAAGGGAACCCTACTGGCCAGAACCAGGAACAGTGCTTGAACGAGAAGGGGAGCTGTTTAATATACGCTAGATTGTTTAAATTTGCTCTAATAGGGGAGAGGCGGGAAGTCAATCCGAACACGAATCCGGTGCATAGGAGTCGTAAGAATTTCCTCCCCGGGTGATATACCCTTTCCGACACATCTATACGCCCTATTTCCGTTCTTTCTGCATACAATGACTTACAAAGCTACCGCGAATTGCCCTCTATTAGGGTCCGAGACTCAAGGACATGAAGGTAAGCAGGTTGGCTCCACACTTACAACCTTTTAACAATGAAAATTTCTTAGCTATCATCATCCCAATTTCGGGGCTGTTAAACTTCCAACACTTTCAGTCGCCCACAGTAGCAGCATTACTTGAATGAAAAATACAGCAAACAATGCATTTTCCCGTCAATGTAATGGAAGTATGGTCTTGATGTCCTTGTAGTGTTGTTTAAAATGGTAGGCGATGTTAATAAGCTGCAATAGAAGATACACCACTTTAAATGACCGAAATAGAGATCTGGAACAGCTATGAGAGTTCAGACTGCGGCCTGACTAGTACACACAAGTTTTCAAGGTCATTCTTATGTTTTGGGATTACATTTTAAGAGCTTGTTCTCACTTACTTTTGCCAGGTTTGTGGCAAAGAAGTGTGCTTTGTGTGTAAACGATAACAAACTGCTTGCTTTAACCTTACATATGCGTTCGAAATGATTAGGTGCAGGTTATAATCGTTTTATTGAGTTCAGCAACTTGGCTGAATAGTAAAATTTGGGAGCCTCTCTTCAAGACCTCACATAATGTGTAAATTTGTATTCAAGTATATATTATTGCAAAGGCGGTTTGCTTTGTAGAACGGTCGCCCCTCAGTAGCCTCAGAAATAAAACTTTTGGCATTTTGTTGTAACGTATACTTTTTAAATTAAAATGAAGATCCACATTGACCTGTATTGAACTGTGATGATAGCTTTATGTATGATATGGACACAGTTTTAGTGTGCATTGATGCACGCACATTGTAATGTCCGAACTTTGATGTATCGTGTCCTATTGATCTCTTTTGAAATGGTTCGTGAACTCTGCTGTAGCTCTCTTTATTATTGTACGACTCGCTCTGATTCTTTGCATTTTTATTCTTTGAGTGTGGCACACTGCGTGCTGGATGAAAGACTTTGCGGGACTTTCTTCTGGATTTTGTTTTCTCTAGTTTTTGAGTTCTGTTGCATTTCATTTTCTGACCCACTATATAATCTGTATGGTTGCTCCCAGTGGTATTGTAATTTGGGTCCTGTTGGCGATCGTTTGAGGTTTCGCTTTTCTAAATCTAATGCTTTCCATCGATAACTCGTTTTTCTGTCTTTGTATGAGCCTTTTAGTTTTCATAGTTTTTGACCTATTTTGCAATGTGTGACCTTGTTCATTGCTATCGCCTGAGGTATTCTGGGCTTATTTTTTATTATGGAATCTTTTAAGGCAGCCAATACTCAGCTGCCATGGCTCCCATAAAAAAGGACAGTGCGACTTTCAATATGACCTGCTTACTTCGAGAATGGGACCGTGCTCCTAGGGAAAGACGTCGCCAGCTTTTGCAAAATTTTATTGATCAACACTGGAATCGGTCTGGACCAGAACTGGAGCTCGAATTAGCCCAAATGGCCAGCCTTTTTCTTGCCCGCATATGCGTTTGGGTAAAGCTAACGTGAGTTTCTCGTTAGCGAAGCTGCTTATCGTCTAAAACATTTATTGCTTACGACAATTTCCTCCCTTGTGGGCGATTTTCGGTTTTGTTGGGGCCGTATTATTTAGATATAAGATGACTACATGTGGTTATGTTTTATTTGATGCTCTCATTTTTGCTCTGATTCCTTCAAAGGTTTTACGTATTTCTAGGTGATGTCGTCGTCATCTTAATGCCTTGCTTTAGCGTAGTTTTTGTGAGCTGCTCCATCTTACAACCTTTTTAATGTGTTCAATTGCTACATTGTATCGAAGCCTTTGTTTCGGATCATATGGTTGCTGTGTATCGAGCCAGAATTTTATAATTGCTATATTTTGGCTGTTACACTTACCTGGTGGTAAGTAGGAACCGTGCCTCCAACTGCTCCAATCTTGTCATCAAAAATCGTCGCCGCTTTGATTAGCGGCAACTATTCAGCATTAGAAGGTATCGATGGGTAGGAGAATGGCAATGAATTGGGGCGGTGTCATTTGCTCACTCATCGGTATAGGCCATCTTCCGTTCTTGTTTGGCTCGTACCACACTCCGAATTGTTTGCCTGCTTGAGTGTACATAGCATAGTCTCCTGGCACCTTTCCTCATACCTTACTCCTGCTGCTCCCCTTTATCCCCGCAGGGAAGTCCTGGGAAGGGAGGTGGTTTATTGATGTCTTTTTTGCCTACGTTTTGAAGTTTTACTCACCGGTATAGCTTGTTCTGAAACCATGCCTATGTAGTTAACCGTGCGTCATTTCGATCTCCATATCAAGTGCTGAATGTAATTGAGCAATGCATCGAGTAGTGTTTGTATTTCTTGTTACCATTGCCTACTTTTGGATATTTTTGAAAACTGGGCGGTCATTCATCATGGGATTTCTCATTGTTATGCATGGATTTTTGCCTTTGTATGTTCAACTTCATGTTGTCGAACATAGTTCTTTGTTTCGTAAAGAGACCGGCAATTCTTTACGCCGTTTTGGTAGCTAATTGCTGTAATCGATTGTAATCTCTCCCCCCTCCATATGCGAAGTCATTCCTCATCACTAATCGTGGAAGTAGTGCATTTTCTTAGAACTAGCACTTAGTTGTTTTTGCTCGCCAGCAATGACTTGGCATCATAGGTTTCTTCCAATGATGCTGATGTTTTGTTTGCATTTCTTCATCGGCCAATTTTTTTATGAAAGCGCAACCTGGCAAATAGATACCCTAGGTTTGTCCATGCTATGAATGGTTGTCCTGGAATTTTGTGTTGTTCCTTCTCAAAAACTTTGGCCATAAGTTAGAATAGAGTCAGGTTTTTACCTCGGCGCAAGATTAAATCATTTGAAATGCCTACAATATCTGCGAGTTTATTTATAGCTGATACTCGACATGCTTAACTATATAAAACCGAAAAGCCTATTGTTTTCCAAAACGGCCACTCGATGATATTAAGTGTTCAAATTCCACTCAATTTTTTCCCGGCTAGCAGAAAAGTGGCTGTCTGACTATCTGTGTGGTAGCCATACAACTCTGTTAGGCTTCGATTTTTGAGGGTAAAACGTCGTACATTTTTGTCTTGCTTTTGGTGACCGGGTTTTGCTCAAACTTTGGTATTTTATTTAGACTTGTATTTTTTCTGTTAGGCTGTTTTTTTTACAATTTTAATGGAAGACTTGGTGTTGGTAAAGACCATACTGTTTGATCACAGATGCGAAGTCTTCTGTTCTACTCTTTGAATCTTATTGGGCGGTAATTTGGATGGAGCACTGTTTATGAACTGTCACGCTAGCTTCAAAGATTTATAGATCGCAGAGTCTGACGCCAAAACGGGGTCTTTTCTAGTTGCTTTTTCGCATGCCGCTCCTACTTCTGTATTCACTGCACTTCACTGGGCTGGGCTGATGCAAGCCTATGCCTTGCATGGCTTGCACTGTGAATGTATCCGTAGAGCTTACGTCTCGGCCTGGTATGTATTAACAGGCTTTGCTCGAAAGTGACCAGCGGAACTTACAAATCATCGTTGTAGCGTGGTAATGCGGTTGTGTTGAGTACTGTTTCTTTGAAGAATGGCCTTGGTCACCACCGGAAACGCTGGAATCTTATACGCCTTACAGTAACTTTGCTTGGCGAATGGAAGAAAATTTTGGGATTTTGAAATATTTAAACTGGCGTTAGGCCCACCCTTTCAGATCCTTTTGTCAACTTACTCCAGTTTGCCAAGACCTGGCAATTCGCCACTTAAGAGAGTGGGTTAACCCGGCACTGCTGATGTCAAGCATTTTTGACTTGGTAATCCAGGTTTCTCAAAATGTCTGGGGAGGCTTTCGGCCTTTTTTCTGTCATTAGATTATTTTATTCATAGCATCACGCCATTGCCGTCACTATTCTTCTTTTGAACTTTCACAATATTTGCCGAATTTCTTGCCCGTCAATAAATTCAAATCTGCGGACTAAAGGCTTAATTTATGTTGAAGCTTGGTATCATGCACGATTCATCGCTAACGTCCAAATTCATTGTACTGCTCTTACGTATGTGCGGTCTGACTATACTCGCTTTGAAACAGGCAGTGGCATCGCTGGGTCTTGTCTTTCTTTCATCAGCGCTTAAAGGATCCGAAAGTACTTGGCCCACTGCCTCTCCTTTTATTGAGACGGAAACAGGATCAATGCTACATTTTTATGTATGTTGGCATTGTGCAATCATCTGGCGGTACGTACTCATGCCCATGCTCCTAACCCTGACAGTTTTGACACTCCTTGATCTGTATTCTTTCAGCTCTGTCCTTTCTATTGTTTTCGACAGACTATTGGCTTTAGGTGAAAACGGACTATGGACGTCTTTTTCCAGATGTAAGAGAGGTTAATAAAGCCATGATCTTTTTGTCCCTGCACGCACCCATTCGTTTGTGCAAATTTGTTTAGACGAACACCGCCTTTAGTGCTGTAGAGCATACGCTTAATTTGCCACGTTTAAGTGAAATGAACACTATGCTTCTCATTTTCAACTTCCAGAAGTGGTAGTTCGCCTCACTTTTCTGCCATTCTAAAACAATTGGCATTTGCATCCATTGAACTGCTACCCAATTTGTTATCTAGGTTGCGGCCTTTGGGTCAGCCTTCGCATACGAGCCATGATTTTGCGAACCGTTAAATGTACATGACCTACCATGCATAAACGATTTGCTCAACGAAGCTGGTACCGTTCTGTGCTTTATTATCTTTACTACCTGGTTCCCTCGCTTTTCCTCGTCTCCTTGTGGGCTCCCTTTACGCGCATCCAAGGCTGAACTGAAGAGGTTTGTTTGATTCCTATCCTCGTTTTCTCTCCTCCCACTGTAATTTCAAGTTTGCCACAGAGATTTCCTTTGCGCTATCCCTGGAAGGTTCGACGGTAATTTGGTGAAATGATGTCTGCTCCAGTGATTCATAGTACGTCAGCGTGTTCGGCTAAATGACAGCGGTATAACGTCCTTCCTCTGTGAAATTGAATTACCTATCTTATAAGAATGGTGAGAGAACCTACTCCCTCAGCCTTGGGTCTTCAATCTGCTTCTAATCTTTTGAGTACTGAATAGGAATGCTATTGAATTTGTGTGAATTGGACAGCGTAAAATGATTGAGAGCTCTAAATTGCTTTCTTTTTTTCTTTTCTCCTTATTACAAAAATTGCTTCTATGCTGCAACTGTCGCTTCATTGACGCCCAGAATTGCATTTATCAGATACCTGAGAGAATTGGGAACTATTGTTGAATATTCGGTGGACCATCCATCGGCTAAGTGGTGAATGTATCCTCTTAACATTACTTTTACGACTTGTGTCTCCACAAGCACATATCGGGTTTGTCATTCCATACCATTTATGAACTTTTTTATCTCCATTTTGTAGCTACATGAGTGGAACCTGCTTAACAGAGCAGCTTCAAGTCCTCTACATCTTCCTCTCTGCGGCCAGCAGGTTAGCCATATCTTTAGTTGCGCAGTCCACAAGTGTGTATTTCACACTCACAGATACGTTATCCTACTTGAATCACGTGCGTACCCAACCAGATCGATCTCCTCTTGTCCCATTGCCTGTGGTAGACAGGGGCACTTTAAAGTTGAACGCGACTGTTACCGTCATTTAGTGTAAATCTCAATATTTGACTGCTCACTTATTTGCTTTGGGTCCATATTTTGAACAGTAGGATTGACAACTTTATCTGCTCTTCTTGTGTTCGCATGCTCTTCGATGGCATTCTCAGCATGCCCGCTTTACTTAGATAGTAACCTTAAACATTCGTCAATTAGTGTAAGTTTACTGTTATAAGACTGATGCTTAAAGTGACGATGGTTGAGATATCCATTTGTAAAGCTCTTACGCCATGCTTGATCTTCGTTTCCAGCTCAAGTTGCATTACCTTTCGTGTGGCTTATTACTACTCTGAACATGGCTTTTGTTTTCACTACTTCGTTAATTTTGATAAGTCTTTTATTAGGATGTGCAACATTGCCCCCACATTTTTTTATTGCTTTTGTCTCGCAGTCATAGTTGTTGCACTTTGTCAAACCTGAAGTCCTACAATCGAGGTCGCCCTGATCATCTTTTTGAAACGTGCTGCCCTCAGCATTTCTGCTATTTCCGTATTGTTCTTTTCCTTCCATCTTCCGCCTAAGCTTAAAATTGACAGTGACTGATGTCCCCAAACTATAGCCAATACCCGGTTGGAAACTGGGTTATTTGATCACTTGTACTATATGATTTTTCCGTTTGAGTTTTATTGTTCATTGCTTCTACTGATTCTCGGGTAGAACTTGTTGGAGTCCATAACTCATCATGGGTAAATTACGTATTGCTTCCTTCATGCCTTTTTGCGTTCCAGTTATCCAAAATATTGCGGTTTTTTTGAAATGATTATTTTTTAATTCAGCTTTACTATTTCATCCATTTCTTTCCAGTTTTTTGTTGTTTACTAACATTTAAATGATTTTTGCTTGATTATGCTAATGCTTCCACATCTGTGTAGTACGTCTCGGCTCCATTGGTATTTTCATGCGTTGATAATAAGTATCTGTAGCCGGCCAACTTAGGACCTGAATAAGCGTTTAATCTACGCTTCATTTCTTGTAAAATAGTTTTCGTTTAATCTGTAAAATGAATTCGTTCAATCACTGATCGAAATGCTCTTACAGAAAGGCAACGCTCCTAGAATCGCATATCTGTTAGCACATCCAAGTTTTTGTTCTTACTTTTTTTCCAATGACAAAAACGAGACGACAGCAGCCAGCACACCCGCGGCTAATCGGTCTGCTTGGTGTTCAGAAGCTGCAAAAGTTAAAATTTCAGTGTTTTGGACAGAAGCGAAAGCAATATATGTTGCTCCGCCGTCCTACGAAGAAAGTCACCAGGATGTATTTCGAAGTGTTTCTGCATTTTTTTACGGCATGTCGCTCAACTTCTGTATTTTTGGATCAATAACCCAGGTAGGTAGATCGTGGTACCTTGGCACTAACAGCAGACCTCTAAAAATGTTCTTATCGCGCATTAGGAGTTCACTCATTTTTGGAGTAATTCCAGGCAGTTTTTGCTTTTGGAGATCGGATTTGACTAATTATTTCGATACTTTTAAGGCAAGCATTATGTTGACCAACCATTAGTCTATCCTCAATGGGCCCCTGCTTTGTAAATATGACATAGGTTTGCATCGGTATATTAAATAGGCATTTTGGCACCCCAATGGGGAAAAGTTTTATTTTTTTCCTTTTCAGTCACAACTTTTTGGCCGAATTTCTGCAAAATGGCGGTATCCTCTGTTTACAGGAGCTCTGCGTTTTGCCCAGCGCCAGAGAAATCGACAAATACTGGGCCCTTCGTGTACTCTCTTGCGTGGCTAATGGCGGCACGCGCTACAAAGAAACCATCTGTGAATGCTATGGTTAGCTTTATGCTAAATGCGTCTCTTTTGCGCGATTCTTTTGTTAGTGTGGAAGCTTTGTGCCAGTATTGCGCGATTATTTCGACGTCCTTTATTCCTTCTCACAAGTACACCTTTATGCTTATTGGCTCACTTTAACCCTGAATCATTCGCACGTGTTGAAAGTGTGAAGTGAAACGGTACTCCATGGTTTCCTTCCCTATTTATTCAGTGTGCTTAGTTTTTTTGTTTTATGTATAGAAACACGTAAGGTCCTCGTATGGAGAGCTAAAGTGGGTGTTTACGTAAAATCAACTTCAAATTTGGGTTTCGTTTGAATCCAACTTCAATTGGAATGCAGAATTAGGCCCTTGATTGTGAGGAGAAGAGTGCACCCGCACCTTGAAGTACTGCTTTCTCGTCGTATCTGATCACGCGACTAAAACTCTATTGAGGTAAAAGTTACAATAATATCTTTTCTGATGGATTTTTTGCTCTACAGATCTCTGTACTAAGGAAGCTTCTGCCTTTACTACTTCGAAGCCTTCATTTTGCACTGAATTCGCGTTAGTTATCTTTATTCTAACTCGGATCCTTGTTTTGTATATCAGTCGAACTCATTCGGATCTCTAGTGTGTGTAAACTAAGGCTCCACTTCCTCCTGTGCATTGTTCTGTTTTTCTCATCTTTGATGAACTACAAATAATCCAAGTTTCTCACTTAAGGTCACGGACGTCATTTAAACTCATACGTTTTGATGGACCAGCTGATTAAATGAGATGCAGGACCTGTTTTTCTTTCATGTTCGTGTTGTCACTATTGGCAAGCTAGCTTTGGTTTAGCTTGGCCTACGCTAGTTCACCTCTCATAAGTACCTGGGTTATCATGGTAGTTTAAGCAGACCGTTATTAATTAATATAGTGAGTAGAGTTTAGTTTTGTTGAATGTTTGCGACCCTTCTCCTCTATTGGATTCACCGTACAAATGAGATGTCGTCCGGCGTTGGTTCCAAAATTAGCCCGTGTTGTACTCTTACTGCCTTCATGACCTGTGTTCCTCCTTGCTCTCTCCATAAGCAATCCTTATCTTCAACATTTGATGTCTCTTTTATGTTTACTTCCTTTTGGCAACGGAGCTTTCGAGCAGATAGCTGATCGAATGTAAAGCTAGGGCTCTTCCATTTTCTTCCTGTCTGATGATGATAGTGGCAAGATCGAAATGTCGCGTGCACATCTGTTCGTATTCCCGTTTAGTCACAGGGCCTGAGTAGTTTAGCAAGGATAATGTTCGGCTGGCAAACAGGGTAGGCACGCAGCATAGTACATCTGGCCCTTTGGGTACATAGCTTGACTTTTAAGTTTTTTCCTTATAATCCTGTCAACGAAGGAAATGGCCGATCTTTAGCGCTTACGAAGCCTCATCGTTTTTTACTCTCTTCAAACCCATCATCATAACAGCTCGTGTTGTTATGGTTGTGGTTGTAGGATCCGCCTTTTGACAAAATAATTATTAAACTTCAATTTGACTAAATTATCGCTGTTTTATTTACCTATGTGTGGCTGAAGGAGACTATTCTACCGCGCTTCCACTATGGGCATCTCACTTGCGTATTTTTGAAGGCTGCTTATTGGGTGTGGTTCTTGCACGATACGGCTGTGCTTTCTGAAGGTTGTCAGTAATGTCAGACAGATACGACTGAAGTTTCTGTGGTGGATTTTGATAAGGCTTTCTATTTTTTCTCCATCAAAGCAACATTCGCCATAAAAATATTGGCATTGTGTGGACATCTTAGTGTGTTATTGATTCTGCGTCGAGCTTTCCAAAGCTTAAAAATAATTGAAGTGAGTTTTTTCTACATTTACGATCAGAACATCATATTTAGCCGCAAATCATAAGGATACGGCCTCGAGTTTGAATAGGTCATGACTATTCGTTCTATGTCCTTGTATCACCATAGGAATTCGCGCAGTGGCGGAATGTATGGCCAAATCGCGCTCAGAGCGAACTCAGGAAGCTGCACGTGACGTACTGGAGCAGTTGGCTGAAGGGAACCCGCGGTTCCGCGATCAAGTCTACAAGGGCCTAATTGCTGTTTTGCCTTGTGACTCTGCGAAGGCCCAACAGCTTGCCCTCCAGTCCATTCGCATTCTTCAGGTCAGGTCTATTTCCTACCCCAGTAATTTAATTGGCTGGGCGAAACATCCTTAACTCTGCATCCAAATTATATCCTTAGTTTTTGTGGTTTACGAAGCATTTTTTAGGGTTTAATGGAACGCTGTTTTGGTACCATGGTGGTAATGTGCGCACTAATTTCTTCTTTGCCTGGACGACAACTTGAGATCTCTTTCCTCTGAGCGAAAGGGAGGTGAGGGTAAACAAGAATTGCACGTCATGCGGATAAGTGAGATGGGTGGGACGGTGGTTGTGTTCGGTGTGCGCTACCATACCCCAAGGGTTAAACATGCACAGTGGTTTACATTAGCAGCGAACCGTACATAAATGACCAAAATTGTTACAATGGACATTGAAGCTGATCACTCATTAGTAGGCCTCACTCGGGGTTTTCTGGAAAATAGCGGTCCGAAAAACAGTCGTTAAATTGTATTTAACGTTTTCTAAGGTTACCTTGTGGTTTTAGCTTCGCGCTCTTCGGAGCAACTTGTGTTAAATTTTGCGAGTAACAATGACAGGAAAACTCTCATGAACGGAGCCTAGTGAGTCTGAGATATAAGGTGGATACTACTGTCCGATAGTTTTTTTCTTATAGCATCCAAGTCATAATTTAGTTGTTTTTATTGTTTTTTTTGAAGCTCTCCTTTTTTTATTTTATATTGTTTGCGTTTCTTTGCCTAAATAGTAATTAAATATTGCACCAATGTCCTCATTCAATCCACCTGAGGATGTGATTTTTAATTAACCCCCGCTTGCTGTTTTAACAGAAGTACCGCACCAAACAAACAATTAGTGCTTTACCACCGCCTTCGAATCACATACTAATTGCTCCAGCCTCAGTTTATTGTTTCATTTTCCACCAGATTTTGATGAGATGCTATTTCGATAACGTTCATTATAGTTTAGTTTCGCCCTTCAAACCACTTATGTTAATAAATTCGGTCTTCATTTGGCTCTGCAATTGAGCGCGGAAGATCTCGTGACTCCTGCCATTGGTCTGCCGCTCCTAGGTGCTTGCGTCTAGCAAGGAATGTGGGTAGATGTGTAGGTTTCACATTGCATTTTTTTCTATTGTCAAATAATACTAATCCCCAGAGAGCTTGGTTTTCAAATCCGTATTTTTATTTTCATTAATATGAACTTAGTCTCTTCTCTTTCTCCCCGTTTGATAAGCTCATTCTTATGGGCAAAACTGCTGCCCACTTCATTCTTAATTAACCCCATGGTTGGGACTACACAACTTTTCTGGTTGACTAAGGCAATTATGTGCAGCCGTCGTTCTTATTTTGATCTAGCTGTGTTTATTTTGCATTGCGGTACTTGGTTGTTTTGCATCTGTTAAACCTGCCAAGCATTGTGACTCAAATAATCCCCTGTCGCAACCTCGTTCCTCACCATTATTCGACTATGATTTACATACCACGGCGTCTAATCTGTAGGCCCGGCTTTCTGTCTTACGACCGTTTCTGTTCCATTTGGATGCAATGCTCTCACATTTGCGTTTACTTGGTCGTGGTTCTTTGCAAGTTCTCAATTTTTGGAGACTATTGCCAATCTTCATCGCAGGATGAAGACATTTACTATGGGCACGAAGTGGGCTGTTGAAGCTCGATTTTGTGGCTGCCTGTTATTTTCAATCTCTGCTCAGCGTTTCTTCCTATCAGTATTGTGTCCGCATTCGCAGCTTGAAAACGTATCGCTTACATGTGCGTGTGTTGTGCAGGAGCTAATGCTACGTTTTTTGAGTAGGTCTTTAACTCTCCACCTGGTATACGTACTTCTGAGCTATGAATCCAGTTAACCCAACTAAAAAACTTGAATGAATTGCGGCAGCATTGCTTGTGCCTGTATCGGTGGGCAATAACGTATCCTTGTACATGTCCTATTTTCTACTTCGGTTGGTACTTGATTTCCCTTACAACGGTGCTTGGATTCTCTAACTCAAAACTCTTTATTTCTGGTTTTTTCTTGCACTTTACTCGAAATGCAATTATTCTTTTCTGCTGACTCAGAATTGACTTTCCTTAACCGGCTCTTTGCGCCGTGCTGGTATGCTGACAACTTCTTCAATCACCCGATGGTTATGGGGTTGGTGAGATTATTATTGGTCCCTTGTGCCGGTTAGTCCCATGCTACTTTTTTTTATTAAACGTATGGTTCGTAACTGCCGCTATTTTTCTAGTTCTTCCAATCAATTAAAGCCGCGTGCCTCAATGTTGCTTCTGATTCCCTGTAGTTGTATACTAAAGACACAGAATGTATTGAACTAGAATGCCTTGCACGATTTACATGCGACCGTGTTTCTTTTTCGCTGCTACCTTTTGTAAATCCCTTCGTTGACTGGTTTTTCAGCAAATTCATCCTTGAGGAACTGCAAGCAGGAAACGGCTTGTTAGCGCATGGAAAGTCGAAACTTTTACGCCTTTTACGGCGTAATGATGCAATTATTGTTTTGCTCCATCTTTGGGCGTATGCTTTATTGTAACTTCCCTGCCGTTTAAATTCGCAGACTGTTTTCTCCTACTCTGCAAGTAGTTTTCCCGTTAGCTGACTAACGTGTTTTTGAAGCTACTACGAATGTTCACTTTCGATGCAGTATTTTCGGTGGCTATCGTGCGGTTCATTTCCTACTGATTATTTATATATTATGTTTTACATTCTGAATAAGTGCATTGTGATCAGCTGTTTTAATTTTGCCTTTGCTTTTGTCTCTCTTTCACTTTTTTTTAAGTGGAGGACTAAATTTATACCGTTCCACCTGCTACAAAAGGAATGAGACAAAATAACTTTAAGTGATTATTCATGACTGCTCTCTCATACTAATTTGCCTTGTATGAGGCTCATGTTGTGCCTATTAGATCAGTTTGGCTTGATGTTCGAATTTCCCGACTTTGCACTTCTCAATCTTATTATCAGTGCCCTACATTCATGTTGCAAGTCTACAGCTTAGTAGCAGGAGAGGTTCATGTTAAAGGTGTATTGGTTATTGAGACATGGTTGACCGTTTGCCGCGTCAGTTTTTCTGATGCTCAAAGCTTAGCGAATGTAGGGTATTCTTTTACATTATTATTCCCGTTATCACTGGGACCCCCTCTCAACTTCCCTCAAATAGTCATGCCGTGAAGATACCATGCTTTCCTTTGTCATGAACTCAATCTCCTCTGGGTTTTGGACCCTCATGGTCACGATTCTGGAAAATGCTGTCTGCTTCTCATACCCTCGCCCTCTGCATATATGCATGTGGGTATGCTTGTGCGTGCATCCGCTTTCGGCTGCTGTCCATCCGTACCCATTGGTAGCAGTGCTGTCATACCTTCGGCTTCCATTTCTCATGCCTGTTGAGGCCGAGGGGAGCGAGAGAGGCAGTGGTTGCCATAACTATCCTTTCGCCTTGCACGATTGTCGGGATTTGCTCGTCCTCTAGCAGCATCGGCCCGTACTCCCCTATTGATGAAAACATTCCTTAAGATTTCCATCTGAGCTAAATTGTTTTGGTAGTGGAGTTCAATTTGCTCTGTCTCGGTGCTTTGGCAGTAACCGTTTGTACCTTGTTGAGAAAACAGATCTTAAGTCAAATTGATACCAATTTGCCATGTAGCCCAATATGCTTATCAGCACTCTTTGATTTTTGTCTCTCTATGTATTGGTAATGTTGTCTACTAACGGTAAACATAGATTAGTTTTTTTCAGCTCTATTTGATTTACTTAATGATCACGCCTCTCTTTGCTCATTTATTTAAGTAAATACGAATGCTTGTAGATCACTCATGGTTAGTCAGTCATCACGAATATCAATTCTATCCATTTTCAAGAGAGCATCCTCATTAAGTTGTTGAGTTTCCCTACATAAAGTGACAACTTACTGAAATGTTTTTTTGGCTTTTTCGCAGATTTGAATTTGCTGTAAACACAGTTCTTATATTCTCTAAGTGGAAATTCTAGCGCTGCAAGATGATCTAATAGTCGAAGATGATCGATGCGCTAATCAGGCCTTTGGGTAGTTTAAATTGATTTCCTGTCAAATTTCAGCCCTTTTACCTAACTAATTAACTGGTAAGCATTAATATTTTCTTCGTTCCTTAAAATGGCTCGGATTCGTAGCGTCCATTTTGGATGTTCTTTGTGGCATTCACTATGCTCATGACTGATTTGTCTTGCTTTCTGTTGCATCGTTTTATTTTACCAGCTTCTAGGATTTCCGCCTTCTAAGCACACAAAGCTGGCTTTTAGCGTCTAGGCTTATTCGTCGCTTGCTTTTTGCTGCGAACACCGGTGGGTGTATTTTCTTACCAAAATTGAAGCCGAGCTAGTTGAAATGTAAATTGGACTTGGAAATATTTGGTGGTAGGAGGGAGTGATCCAATGGCCAATCCTTTGCCCTGCACCGACCTAGACTTGGATTTCATTCCCTTTCAGATCGGGAATCCCGTGGCTAACAGGGCACTCATTGATCGTATCAACAGCATTATGGAGTCTCTGCATTTTGCTGTGCAAGCTGCTGGTGAGCAACCCAAAGAATGCATTTATAGGTCCCATGGAGCTTTTTCATTGTCACTTGCAAACTGTCCCCGCTTTCGCTTGTAGTCACCTGATTCGCTTTCTTACGTTCGCACTAAACTTAGGTGCATTGCTACCGGCTGATAGGCGTTTCCGTAATGCGACCCTTTTTGTTTTGTAAATGACGGAAATGAATCCCACCTATGCAGCAGTTACATTTTTTTGAAGAGATATGGCTTTTTACCATTACTTTTCTTTTTGCTACCTTCAAATGTAAATTTGTTCCCCTACTCATTATTCCCCAGCCGAATTAAATGCAATAATGTGTTTTATTCCGAATATGGGCAGGTAATTTGTTCCGGGAACTATATATTTAATTCCATGTCTATTTGAGTACGTTTATCCTTTATTTTTGTTCATTGGGATTTACCACAGGTCCTTTCAGTTTCGTCATATGATGAATGAGCAGCCTGCTGTCTCATTCTATATACTCCATGTCTTGTTGAAATGAAACCTTAGTTCCCACCATACCTAGTAGTGTTTGCAGGATATGGGAATCCTTTGGGTTCAAAAAACATGTTGAAATCAAGCAATTACTGATTATTGAGTTCAATTGATTGATTTGGTTCATTGCATAAATTGCTGATTTGCTCTAGTCTTGGATGCGTTCCAAGGTGCTTTGGCGAACTCGAGTCTGCAAAAACTAGGTTGGTAGCCATATTTGTGAGTTGGATTCGTAGCCTTTGTATTGCAAAACTTAGTAAACTTTAACTTTCGCTTTTCAACGCCTTTTTGATTTTTTCATGCAAAATGTACGCATTGGTGCTTTAGCTTAACGCACACTGTTGCGATTTGCTCGTACCTATTTGAATTCTTTTTTATCGTCTCAATTGGTAGCTTTCCAACTGGGAGTTAACGTTAGTAAACTGTTTCCCGGCCTCTGAAATCATCCAGCGGTGGGCACAGGAAGTTCTTCAGTTAGATAATGGCAGTCATATAGCAATAAGATTTTAACTGTTATGCTCTAAAATCGTTTAGCTCCTCATTCCCTTTAATCATCCACCTGTAATTTCCATTTGTCAGGCAGTTGTTAGTATGAGCCAGAAGTTACCATGGTAATTTGGGAGGTTCCGTATTTGATCGAATTGCCAGGTTCTTGATTGACTTGCATATCTCGTTTCGGCGGCACTGCACTTTGGTACAGATAAGCAAATCAACAGTGTGGACAGCTTTCTGCTTGGGCATGTCCCGATCTCCCTGTATTCTAGTCTCGGTAACGCAGCATTGGCTATTAACGATTACATAGCCTCATTACATTCCTACACTTGATTTGCTTTTTAAAGGTCATTCTCTGTTTTCTAGCTCTGGAGCTTGTTCGTACCCTCATGCAATGCGACATTGCCGATGACATCCTAAAAGCTCTTGTTCGCCTCCTTCATCCTCAAAAGGAAATCGAATTGGGCAAACTTTTCAACGAAGCTACTAAGTCTATTTCTGATAGCAGTGACGATGATGGCAACGATTTTTCTGAAACCGCAAATGGGAAAGCTGATGATAGGGGTAAGCTATGTTTTGTGTTTTTAAATGAACATAGATTTTGCACCACATTCCTACAAAAATAATTTTGCGATAAAGCCTACGTTTACCCGCAGGCAGACATCTGCTGAATAGACTGAAACCATTTACACCTGACACTTAATCTTAATGGATTCCTTCTCAGAAGCAATTTTATATAGACCTCAAGACTGACTGTGAACACGTGATTAGTGACATTGCAACCCGAAATCCAATTTCCATTCCTTAATAAATGATAGCAAACTATTTGATCGAAATTCAGTCACTACATATGCCTACCAGACTAGTATTAACAATTCCCTACTATCATTAAAATGCCGTTTCCTACCTAAAATTGCTTCCAATCCGTTTTACACGGATTGAAAGGATTTGAGTGGATTGTAAGCGAATGGTACTATTACAAAGGATATTATTAAACACATCGTTTCAACTCTTCCACTGGTCCCGAAGCAGTTAGGATATGCTATTTTAGTCCTTCAATGACGAAGTACCTGCATTAATGTGCTTCTAAAGGGTTCAAACAGATCACTGTGACATTTTCAGTCGTATCAGTATGAAATATTTTACCTTTGATATGCTCCTTCTTCTTACATTATTAAAATGACAGTGGTGTTTCCTTCCTGCTTGTGTGCTGTTGCTGCTGCTCCAGAGGTGATTGATTACAAGATTTTGGGTTTCCCATAGCTGATTCTGACTGCCGTCCGACTAAACAATTTAGTGTAGCTTGTTCTTCCTCTAGTTAAATTGTCCAAGTGCGAGCGTTTGCGCTCGCACACTCACGCGTATGCGCGCATGTGCGCGCACCACCAAACTACTTTGGCGGACCATGCAATTCTACACTCTTCACCAATCACCGGTCCCTTTTTTCAACCACCACAGGATTAGCTTTGGCGGATTCTTGTCAGGAAGGTATTTGCTTGCCTTCTTTAAGACGTTCAACCGTAAATTAACCCCAAAATGGACCGTCTTGTTTTGGTTTAGCATCCAAGCTTATGCCTTTTATCTTATTCGCCCCTAATCTTTTAATCTCTAAAAAAGTATTGGGTTTTATTTTCACTAATACAAATCTCACCTTTCCTACCTTTGATTTTGAAGCCTCTTGTAGTGAACGATAGCTCAATCGAGTCATTTATTCTTCTCTTTTGCCTTCCTATCCGTTTGGGTTGGTTTGAATGGCTTTTCAGGTAGACCGAAGCCTTCATCTAAGACCTTGTTTCAGACTGCGCGTTTTGTTCAATTCATTTTCTGATAAAGGTTGCCTGTTTAATCGGTCGAACTTTGTTTTGCATGGATGGTTCGAAGCGAAGCATCGCATCATTACTAGCTTCCGATGCTTCTTTGGGCAACCAGTCTGGCATTTCAGCTACTAAGTATTGTCAAAGAATTAGCCTTCGTGAGTGGTGTATTCTCAAACTTTGTTAAGATTGAGTGCCGACTCACTTTGGCCTCGTCGCTGTTTTTCGCTGAACGCAATTTACGACAGTAGTAGACAGTAGCTCAGGCGGAAAATATAATCCTTAAGGCTGGCTTAGTTTTCACTCAAATGTTATTCTCATTCTAATGCTACCTTACATTATTTTTTTATGCATGTGCATTTTCTTTACACTCGAGTCTCGACTCAAATCACCAAATCTCTTCTGTTCGCCAAGTGTCCAGAACTTGTCCTGCTTTCGATAACACACCTCTTAGTTTAGCAGCGTGCTTGCCTTGCATCGGAGCCTTTGATTCGATGACCCGTACCACAAATTTGGTAAAAGTAAAGCAATTTTTGAATGAGCGCATGGACCTGTTTTTTTCTAACATTGATCGTCTCGTAAATAGCAGATCCCACTCCATCAACACACAATTCACTTTTTTGGTAGCTTTGAATCACATCGGATTGATTTGAGCTTTCCTTCGTCCCTTTGGCTCATATTGCTTGCTCACAGTAGCATGTCGTGAACTACTCTAATTCCTTCAGAGTAATTTAATTGTATTTTATTTTCCGCTTTGAAAGAGCCATCAAATAACATAAATCTATGTAAACTGCTAGTCATCATATTTCGATGTTATCCAAGGAGCGAATTGAGTTAAACTCTGAAAGTAACTTATGCTATGCGGTTATTGCTCATTGTTTTGTTTTTAAGCTTTCTTCCAAACACTTAGTTTGGCTTTTGATTATATTCTTTGGTTCATTTTGATGCTCCCAGGATTTTTCTTTATCCTTTTAAACTATTTTATCAGCTGTGGGCACTCAATGTCAAATCACCTATCACCTAATGTGCATGTTGCTCTAAGGTCTGCGCTCGCCGTAGTTAATTGAGTAAAGGGCTACTTTAGTAGTTTTTAAAGATTTAGACCTCTATCAAACGTGGGGAGTTGTTACTTTCGGCTTCCCAAGAATTGGATTTTCAGCCCATCAAACCCTTTCACAGTTCCTTCTAGTAAAACCCCGAATAGCTCCTGAAAAACCATAAAAATTTGGGAAATAATAAATATCGTACAATTATGCACTTATTTTTGTCCTTACCATAGATCTACAGCATTTTAGTTGTTTTCCTC